ATATATTCATAACCGGCTATGGAATGAAAATGTGTATATAAAAAAATGAATGACAAAAATGATTTTAAATGATGAATATTGATAATGATATATGAATATTCCCAATAAAAGTGCAAGTAATGTCCCAAGCATTGTCAAAATAAATGAATACACGGATGACACAATGCGCCATGTAATGTATCGTAAAAAAATTGACTTTACAGAAGTATACTTATCATAATGCATTCATGATTCTTTATTCTTTAGCAAAATGAAGCAGATATTCTCAGAAATATGTACGGAAGCGTACAATGATAATATAATCGACTCGAATTTAGAAAAGAAAAAAGGATATGGGAACAATTACTTACATTTGCATTGTCTAGATGTTCCGTTACATTCGGGTCAGATCGCGTGGCTACATTGTGGAGATCTGTACAAGGTTCAGGAGAGGGAGGAAGGAAATCGATTCTCCGTGTGTCTGTTTGCTTATTCACAGCTTCCGATGCCTGCTTGTTATTCTTTTCGATGCATCGATAGCAATGAGATGCAAAGTTATCCTGGGCATCTTGATTACTAGTATACTGCGCATGAAACTCATTATGAGAAGCAGTATGACTCAGATGGTTCGCGTTTTGATGACTATTATCACTAGAATAGTGTTGCGCGTGATTCTCGTGGCTCACTTCAGCAGATTTATTCTGATGATGATCATCCGTTTTGTTTCTGTAATAATCATGTTGATGTAACTGTTGATGCTCGCTATGTTGTTTCTGTTCGTTATAATGCTGCTGCTCATTATGCCTATGCTCGTGATGTTGATGTTGCACATGATGATACAACTGTTCATGTTGATGCTGTTCATCGTGATGTCTATGTTCACTGTGTTGCTGCCAGTGATGATGTTCAGTGTGCTGTACAGAATGCTCTTGATTACGAGTTTCATCAAAATGAAAAGTTGCATGTTCTTGACGTTGATCATACGTTTGAATAGGCGTGTAAGATGAATGCTGTTGCTCGTAATGAAATTGCTGATTGTGTGCGAGGGATGCACTATGATCACTTTGACGAACAGCATCCGTCTCTTTAACTCCGCAGTAACAATTTTCGCTCTTATCATTCAGTGCGCTATTATCAGTCGGAAACAGATCATCCCGCGGAGAATAGTCTTCCCAGGGATCTTTAAATTCCGAAAAATCCGGCACTCGAGAGCTGTTGCTATTTGTTGCGGAGTAATCGGAGATCTTAGGGAAAGGGGGTACATAGGACGGGGGAGCAAATGCGTGCCAAATTGGAGCCAATGTGCTGGTGGCCTATGCAAGCATCATGCCAAAACAGAAAAATGCACACTCGATCGGTTAGTATTGAACTAAGTGTCTGGCAGTGTCCATTTTTCTTACAGCGTTATGTCTTCCATTATACATTGACATTTACACGATAGCAATAATGTAAAATGTTATTTCACCGTAAAGAAAATAAAGTTTGTGGTATATCAATACCCAAGCAGACAATTTACGTTTAAAAAAAGTTTAGCTGAAACGTTTTTTATGCTATATAAAAATGTTAAACAGATGTTATTAAATATTTATTTATTAAACGGTATTTTAAATGAGTAAAAAACGTTTAACAGACGTTACAAACATTTTTATAACATTTATTAAACGTGTAGTTGTTAAAACGTAACAAATTTTAACAAATTTTATTTTTATTTTCCAGTTTATTCGTTCATTACACGATTTATAACGTTTATTAAACATATTTTAAATATAACTGTGTTGCTTGGGTAGTTTCAAAATGCCACACGAATAACATTCATGCTCGACCCATTCATTACAGATATTACGAATAATGCAATTAAACGCTATTATGTATAGCGACCGAATTAAATTTTTACATGAACTATAATAAGTATATGAGTTAAGAGAGAACAGAGATCAAAGAAAAAAAATAGACACTGGTTTAATATTGGAAAAATCCATTAATATCCAATCATATTAATAGCCACATTATGCGTTTGATAAATTTTTATAGGATGAAAAATGTACATATAATTTCTCATTGCGTATTAAAATTATACTATTTTAAAAAATTATACTACTATTTAAAAAATTATACGCAATATATCATAAAAATATGTAAAATTATATTGAAATGCAGCTATTAATATGAACTATACAAAAAAATGTACAAAGACAAATAAAAAATATACCTTGAACCCTATAATGTAAAATTAAAATATGATATTAAGGAATTCTTTCTAGAGACTCTCGGGTTCAAAATATATTTAAAATGCCAAGAAATTTACACTTCATATCATATAAAGATAGTAAAAAAACGCTATATTCTCAAATGCTACTTTTTTGCAAGCTTTCATACAGCATTAAAAAAATATCATTAAAAAAGCAATGTGAAAAATCTCAGATTTATATAGTTGCATTTATAAAAAAAAACTGAATTCAACTCGATGTAATCTCTAATATTCAGTAATAAGAATTCTAAAAAATTTGTGATGATGGAAGCTCTCAAAATTGCATCATAATTTTTATCTACTGTATGACATGATAAATCCTACTTATTTCAAATAATAATATTAAGATACAGAATAATCTAGAAAAACTACACGTAGTACAGACGCGTATGTAAGAATATCTTACCCTCATATTATTTATAATTGCATATAATTCACTGCTTTGCTTGTAAAACAAATGCATAAATATAAGACAAAAATTGCGACAATATTAATTTTTTGCAGCCAATGCATAAATATAAAATGATTAAAATTGTGTTATTCACAGATTAATAACAAAAAAGATCTCTCTTTATTAGAAATATAAAATTTAGTAGAAAAACTACGCACTTCGAGTGTCAGTTTAGAACTATCATTCGTCATTTTAGCACATTAAATGCATACTGCACTAAAACAGATTATAATTAAACTTACCATGGAGGATGATAATTGGGGATGCACTCGCTCGCAGAATATATTCCACCATAATTGCAACAGCGGTTGCAAATGCGTTGATCCCGGTGGTGGCTGGACGGTGCCAGTCAGGGTATCGAAATACTGTAACCACGGTTTTGTTATGCCAATAAAGTGTATTATTCTCACGTCGTCGCCAAATCTAGGATATAAATGAGAATTAGAAAACGAAAGATTTTTAATTGTTGCCGAATCGAAAGAGCGTAAACGCTTACTGTTTAAATGCGGGGAGATAAGAGTATGTCGCAGTAGAACACATGTTGTAGATAAACGGTAGATGCTTGGAGATATCCTTGCTAGCCCAGTCGCTAAAGTACATGTTCAATAAGCCTTGATCACCGCCATCAAACGAGCCCTTAGCAGCGGCGAATGCGGTGATTGATGCAAACGTTTGTTGAGATGGTCTGAATACAAATACTCCGGAATTAAAGCAGTCAGGCCAGCCGACGTCGGGCGCGGCCGATAGTTCTTCACGCTCGAATAACTCATCGCAGTTTCGTACAACCTAAAAAAAATAATTAAATAGATCTATACTAATGGTGATAGTTTCTCTTCTAACAGATTTAATTCCAACTTTTATACTGTATTTTATTTTTTTATAGATAATATATAACTCATTTTTTAAATGAGTTATATATTATGAGTTTAAATATATCATAACAAAGAATAAAATAGTGCAATTAAAAACTTTAAATCCAATTCCTATTTTAGCTTTAGTTCAGATGTAAAAATACTATAATATATAAAATGAAAAAATATATGTATCAAATATTTTATAGATTGAACAAAATTTCGCGTTACTCACAAGAGTATCTGCATCAACGAATACACACTTCTCGTACTGAGTTAGTCTCCAACAGTGTAATTTAGTAAAAGTAATGCCTAATTCTGGTCTAGCCAGTAAGGCCAGGTTCGCCTCGTCTTTCGAATCGAGAACATTGACTTCCTGCACCAAGGAGAATACTGCAGCCAATTTTTCCCTAACGCAAACAAGACGCTAATTACACGTTGGAATTAGAATTTAGTTAATGTCATTATATAGTTAAAACATTTTATAAATCGCAAAATGTTGACTACTGTTATTAATACCTTAAGATACACAAAATATTAGCGTTCTTTAATTAAGAGAGCAATCAAGACTTTAATAAGATAATATTGATATGCTTAAAAATTGAAAAGCTTGGAAGAGTAACACGTTATTGTTGCTATACCATAATACACACAATTCTGATCGCATGAAATGCGATTTAATATACATTTTATTAAATAAATCATTATAAATAAATAGACATTTATTACAATAAAATTAAATAAATAAAAATTAATTTCTCTCACTAAACTTAAGATTCTTGTAAAATCGACGTCATTTTTATAAAAAGAGGTTTAACTTTTTATTGTAATAACAATCGAATGTTGAATAAATACAAATGCTATAAATATGAGAAGTTTGTTTCAATTTTCACGACACGACTTGGCAGCTAATCTGCGTGTTGCATCCGGTAATCGCTGTATTGAACTTGGGGAACGACAATACCTCATGGTTGCCGTAACTCCGGGAGTGACAAGACAGGCCAATTCGTGCTTAGTGCCGACCCGGCGTAAGGAATGCGCCAGAACCAGGGCTCCCAGAGAATAGGCATCGTTCGTAGCCAGTGTAACCCACGCATATCCTAAAAGATGAAGAAAGATACAATAAAACGCTTGATGGGGTATTCGCTTCTATTAGATGCACCCGGGCCAAATCTATTTTAAACTCGGTGACTACGGCAAAGCTGACGTTTAAATCTACATCCAGTGAATATGTCCAGAACATGCGCGCACGGTAAGATATGGGATAGTGTCATTCAAGGCCAAACTCGAGAAAATTTTATTTAAATATTTCAACAAAATCGTTCTTTCTGTATCAATACAGATATTTTTTTGTAAATTGTTTTTGTATCAATTACTTACTACACAATATTACTCCTATTATATATCATAATGGTCTAAAGATACTGTATTTACACTTGCAAAATAAATAGCATGGATTTTGTATGTAAATATGCTGTTTTGTAGTGTCTTTCGATTCAATTCCAGACAACACGAAGAATGCGCGAAGCCAATTGTGATTTCGCGCATCGATAAGCGATGTGGCAAGATCGATAATTTCACGGTTAACATTGATTTTCAAATTAATCTACAATCTTACGTAAGCACAATTAAAGATAGGCGGTAAAATTATGCCAACGAACTCAGCTAAGTTCAAATGTTATCGTACAATCAGTACGCATTTTACAGACGTGCACTTTTACAGTCATCTACCTCAAATTCATGAAAAAAAAAAACTACATATATTATATTGCTACGTACAAAAAGAGTTGTAAGATGATTTGAGGAATGTCTATTACTTTCATAACAATAATAAGGATTTCTTATAATTTAAATAACAAAATAGAAAAGGATATATAAGATGCAACAATCAAAAATGCGAATTGATCTAATCTTGGTATAATTTATGAAAATTTTTCACAAAATAATCCTCCATTTTTGTTTGTTATAAAAATAGCAAAATAGAAAAAGGCATATAGAAATTAGGCATAGAAATTAATATATTAATAAATCAAAAATAGCGATAGTATAATGAAAATGAAAAATACATATTTCGATTAAATTTTGAGCCACTTTCAGATCATAAGATAAATGTAATTTTATCTTATGGTCTGAAGATGGCTAAAAATTGAGCTGAAATATTGGGTTGTCCGGAAAGTTCGTGCCGACTAACCTATATAATTTAATAAATGTATACTAAAATTTAAATTTTCTGCGTTTCAATTTTCCTTCAACATCGACACGAACTTTCCGGACAACCCAATATGTAATTTTTCATTAAACTTTTACTATTTTTTATTTATTATTATCATTTACTTTTATATTATTATCATGCCCACTAATTTCTGCGCTTAATGTCTATATATACCCTTTTCTATTTTGCTATTTTTATAACAAATAAAAAATGAACCATGTTTTGTGAGTTTTTATGAGTTAGACAAAGACTATAAGATCAAATATTTATATTTTTTATCGAATTCTTGATGAATGATTCTTGAAAAACTGCATTGGTATTGGTGCCTAGAATAATATATCAGTGCCTGCTCTTCGCGACACAAAAATCCAATGCATCCTACCACGAGAACGCAGAAGAATGCAAGTTAGACGAAAGGAAAAGCCGAAAACGAAGGTGATGTTGGCAGTCTTCCAACTCCGGATATATAATTAGAGTTCTCTCGCATTGGTCTCACTTCCTCCTGACTCGATACAAGAGATTTTATAATTGCAATTATTTATATTCATGACTGCATTTTACAACATAGATGCATTGCATATTCTGAGAAGAAAACTCTCAATGATGGCTAATAAATTATATTTTTAACAGACAAATTGTATAAAATAAGAAAATCCCTTTCTATATAATTTCAAAATAAATCCTTACACTGAAAGGGAGGAACCTAAAAGAAACTTTTGAATTCTTGATATAAAATAATTGTAACTTGTTGCTATAATAGTCGTCCATAATTAACAATTAAATTTTCATATTGATTTCACTATAAATATTTTATTATTAAAAAGTTAAATAAATTGTTACAAATGTGTGTGACAATTTTATGTGACAATGAGACTAAATGACTCATTTAAACAAATGCAAATGCATAGTTTTTTCCTGCATTGTCATGCAAATCGTCGTGCACGTTAAATGTACGATAACGAAAGTGGGATTTAAGTCGCAAAATGCAGTCGGACACGTGCAAAAATTTTTATCCATGCAGTAAAAAGTTGGCAGAACGAAGGAGTTGCAATCGCAGAGGCGTATCTCTTGTTTTTCGCAGGCGCGTAATTCATCGCGTATTTATTTATAACGTATCCTATTTCTACTTTGCGTGATATCGTACTATCCTCCGTGCGTAAGCAGACCAACGAGTTTTGGCTGTGTTCTATTTCCCTCCTGGATAAAACACATCACTTATTCTTAGGTAAATTTACGACGAAACTCCGGTTATCATCTTTTGCAAAACTGCGAGATACTTGTAGTTGGTTTTTAGAACTTTCATCGTCATGATCCTTCAATTTGTTATTGTATTTAAATCGGATGGGATATGAGGAAAAATGGTCGCGTTAGAATTCCGCTTCGAAATCCATAATAATTACATAATAATGTATGCATAATAATTACATAAATAATTACATAATAATTATGCTCTTCAAATGTGCTAAATTTAACTTAGTTGACTTTCTTACGCACCGATAAAAACAATAATAAACAAGACGAAAAATGGCGCAAGCTATGCAATAACGACTTGTTGTCGGTTCAAGGTTCATTTATCGGGAAAAGATCGCTAGAAATATGGACAATATTTGCTATTTAAGATATCAAGGAAACTGATAATTAGATATTTATGACGTAAAATGAAATATTAAGAAACGTAATACATAAAAGTGTTCCGGATAAAGAAAATATTTTGAAAGAAACTTCTATGACATGAATGCGAAATTGATTTTTTCTTAATGAAAATATTAAGCAACACGAAAAGTGCTGCTTGATATTTTGCTAAAATTATTATTATTATTATTGATAAATCTAAGAAATTAAAAAATTTATATAGCTATATAGAGATCTGAAAATAATTTTGTTAAATTATTAAAATAATTATGTAGGAGATTCAACTGGTTATTACAATGTTTTGCATTGCAAAGAATCGGAAAGAATGATTTTACTGAAGTGTTTAAAAATTCAGCTAGATATATACAAATCTGAGAACGATTTTGTTAGACCGTCAAAATAATCACTTAGCAATCTCAAGCATGAGAAACAAACAAAAAGTAAAAAAAAAGTTGTAAAAAGTTTTAACATTCTAGCAATTTGAATGTTAAAACTTATAATTATTTTGATAGTTCAACAAAATTATTTTTAGGTCTGTATCCAGCTGAATTTTTAGATACTTCACCAAATCCGTCCTTTATGCTCGTTATGTCCGAACATTCTACATAATTATTTTGGAGATTCATCAAATCTGACTAAAATTTTAAGTATTTCATAATCCTTTTTTTTTTGTGAACAAAGTTCCACATTTTCAATCGCGTTCCGTGATAATTTCTCAAATCAAAATCTACTTGATGACTGTTAACACTGGCGCGGAATTAGGGACTTGCCAAATACGTCCCGAGACACACGATAACCTCGTGAACGAGGAAGAATGTCATCATATGTACACGTGATTGAAGACATCGATCAGACCATTGATTCAATGATCAAAACTACGTAGTACAGAAAAAAATTTCTTTTATATAAATAATAAAAGAAAAGTTATTGAGAATCAGCAACATTCTTCAATATATTCCTAGTATATATGAAACTATTTTGAAATGGATTCTGATCAAAATGATTAATCTTTAGATATCTTTAGATATCATATTTTTCAGGAACAGAATAATTTTCGGTTGAAATTTATTCCAAACGGTTCCATAATATGGACCCTGCTTTGAAATTCATAATAAGATTGTGTTATAACGTCATTCGAATGTCGTTATAGCAAAATACGCATAGGCGAACGCTTTAGAATCCAGATATATGTTGATGATGACAATGTGACGGACAGTGGAAGGAGATGAAAGAAGTGGAGGAAGAAGAGAGCCAGGAGGAAGATCGAATTTCTAGCTACCGGTGTTTTCAAGATCGAGCATTCAGAGTCATGTCAAAACGCGACGTGTGTACTCCCTCTCATTACTCGCTCTTCTGTTCTCTATATATTTTCATTTCCATTACGCCTAATTTGATTGATCGCGCGATACGTTTCCTCCGCCTACTCGTCTCCCAATTTTTGTCCATCTGACAAAAATTAATTTTCGCTCTTGGAGCGAAGCAACGTAACATAAATGTAACGCAAAACAACAAGTTATTTTGTATAATATAAAAGGTCTGAGAAAAGAGAAGAATATTTTAATGAAAGTATATAGAAAGAACAATTTTACTTAATAAATAAAAACTTAGCTTAATACAGATATGAAAATAATTCTTCTGAACCATTATAAATTAATTGCCCAAGTATAATGAATAAAACTACAAAAAATTTTGAGATTCTAGCAATTTAGGTGTTCTACATAATTATTTTCAGTTTAATAAAATTATTTTCAGACTTATATGTAGCTAAATTTCTAGATACTTCAGCAAAATCGTTCTTCCCGTATACTATTTATAAAAATATTCAAGATTAAAATTAAGAAATGGGACTTGCAATCGATAGAAAATTAGGTGGAATCGAGATGAAAAGAAATCAGAAACTCTGCATTACACTGTTTGAATTCTTCTGTCTAATTTTAAAGTGAAAGAATTAATCTTCCAGCGACTGATGTTGAAATAGGATAATTACTCTTCAGACACGAAGCTATTTTTCGCGTATAAATTACAAGAGAGACGCGAGACGAAAAAAATATTTTAGTGCACCCGCTATATTTACTGTCGCGAGGGTTGATCTTTCCTTTGAGAGACGCGGAGGTGAAGTCTTCCACGTATAACGTTATGGTGCGAGAATACTCGAAACCTGAGAGGAGGCAGACTGCCGGCATAGGTTTATATTTATACAAGCCGCTCTTCCAGCTCTTATAATAGCGAGCCGGTCTCGTATTCGTGGCGAAATGCATTCATACGTCTTGCGTTAGGTCAAGCACTTGAGCGTCAAAACCTGGCTACTTCCTTATAAGATTCGCGATTGCAAATTGCATCAACATGAATAATATGGATATCCTCGAGCTATTTTCTGCAATGCATGTGCTAGCAAAAACCAGTCATCGATAATCGACACTCATCGTCGATACAATCAAAGAGTCTACAAGTTTTAATCTTGACTGATAATCTTAAATTAAACGTTCTTAATTTTTCCAGTATTCCTATAGGAATTTAAAGCTTCACGTTTGACAGACAAAAAAGCAAATCCAAAATTATCTATGTATTTATATTCTACAATAAGGAAAAAAATTAGTCATAATTTATAATAAAATACAATAACTGAAATAACATTTTTACATGGTAAATTAGAAGTCTGCTTGATCTATAATCTATAATCGGATTCTCTTCCTGTCTTTAATTTGAATGCTAATCATATATTCTCTTTTTTCTTTTAATTTGGATGCTAATCGCTACTTTCTTGCGCACATTGTCTATTTTTACGACGAGAGCACTACGAAGAAAACACGTGCCCCAAACTAGTGCTCGAATCCAAAGCAGACGAGGTCAAGATTGAGATCACATAAAAATAGTATCGTCAGTTGTCGATAAAGGTCCAATGAACTTGACAATTAGTTGACTTGCACGAAATATCTCGCACGTCATTTTTCCTTAATTATTTATTTGTAGTGCATATAATTATTTAAAAATAATTATTTGCACTTTCTTGTTTATTAATCAAGTGTTAATCAAGTTCCCCTCTTGGCTTGTAATGCTGAAAGTAATAAAGTTTTTTGTTCTTATGGTTTTCAAAGAAGACGATTCACAAATATTAAGAGATTAAGATAAAAAAAAATGAAACCTCAATCAATGATAAATAAGGTAAACTCAAAATGGAAAGAAATCGTATGGCGAAACGAAAATTCTACATTAGAATAAAATTCTTTAGTCTAATTTTTAAATGAGAAAAATTCTCATCTAAATCGATATTCAGTTTATTTAAAATAACTTTTCAATCAATAAAAGTAAAACTCCTTTTAGACAATGCATGATTTTAAGTAAATCTCTGTGATTATATTCTAGATAAAATTTAATAATCTTGGAAACATTAAAATAAATAAAGAAAATAATTATTGGACTACTTTATTTCGTGCATCGGATATTATTCTGCAAATATGTTTTAATTATTTACATTCGGTATTATGATAATGATTTGATTTATCATAGAAGATATATAATATTTCTAGATGTTAATAATCTAGATTTTATGTGGAAAATAAATATTTCTCAAGATATAGCCGGTGGCGATCGATATATAAGCATTCTCTTATCGTATAACTTTCAATTACATGCGCCGCAATTGATATGCCATCGCGGGTCACTCGAGACCGGTGCGACGTGCTCATCAGTCTCATTAGTCTCGCAGTGAGAACAATCGAGGCTCGTATCTTCCATAGATAAAATCGAAAAGTTTTGGCACGAGATTATCTAAACGATTGGTTATTAAATCCACACCTAGTTTCACCAACGAGTTCCATCAGAGTATATATTTAATCTCAGTTTAACTTAATCTTTATCTTTTTCTAATTCTTAGAATTAGAAATTTACTCTTTATCATATATATAATTTAATATAAAGATAAAAAGTAAATTGAACTAAAATTAAAGTTAATGCAGTTACATTAGTGGAATCAGATTTATTGGAAACCAAGAATTGTGAATTGGAAATTAGAATTTAACTGATAAGCACCGCGAAACATTTCATAATTAAAAATAAACGAACTAAAAACTTCTGATTATATCAGTCAGAATTCTAATTATCTGAAATAGAATTGTAAGAATTCTATTTGAGATAACTACTATATAGATATAATAAATTTAATCAGAAAAAAATTTTGATTTGTTTATTTTCAACCAGAATTCCAATTAATGTAAACTTCTTCAGTAGAAGATAATTTTAATCTTAATCGATTTTGTTATAATAGGAGAAAAGAAATCAAATCAAACATACTTTACAATGTAAAAATATTACTTTACTCATACAGATTTTATTGACTAATTTTTGTTTATTGCAGAATATAAATATATCGATAATTTCATACTTGATATATTTCTTCTCTTAATTAAAACACGAAAATTTAAACTGCAAATAATGCCGGTAAAAATTAAGGTAATTCACAGGAGTTAATTTTTAATTAATTTTAATTAACGTATATTTTCTGAGTATCGGTCGTCGGCGAATAGTTTTTACGTCGCAAAAAGTCGTTCGATGATATCCGTAATTATAATCTCCATGATAGTGTGATACAGTTTTTATGCAAAAAAATCTTACGTTCCGTAAAATCTTACGTTCCACGTTATGCAAAAAAAATCTTATGTTCCGTAAAATCTTACGTTCCACGGGTTTCTCTACCTATGTCGGACGCGCGAAGATGGAATCCGAAAGAATAATTTTATTGAAATATCTAAAAATTTAGCTATATATATGTATGAAAATAATTTTATTAGATTATTAAAATAATTGTAATATGTACATAGGAATTTCAAGTGTGATGAGCAATGCTGCAAATAATTTTGACAACCAATTTGAGCATTTTTAAAAATTATTTTAATAACCTAATAATTATACAATAATCTAATTATTAATTATACAACAATTACAACAATAGTCTAATTAATTTAATAACTTATTATTCTCAGATCTGTATCTAGCTAAATATTTTAGCAAAATCGTCCTTTTCTTGAAAATGAAATACTGAAGAAATACTGCGTATCAGAAAAAAACTACGCGGCATATCCTAAATATACACGTCGGCGATGTCACGAGTGTTCATTTCAATACTTTCTGGCGCGCATTCGGACACACCTGCGCGAACAATCGGGCGAGTGAAAAGTTGAGCAGCAGGAGGATGGCACGGAGCGGCAAAAATCTCGCCGAAAGTACGCAGGCGATTCCGCGGAAGAATAAAAATAAGGGAGAGTATTTGGCAAGGCGCCGCCGAGTTCTTCTCCCTCTTGGAGGGTCGGCCAGGAATAAACGTCAGACTTCAGAGATATCCCGGCGACGCTGACTTATCTTGTTATCTTATTTCTTGTGTACACGAGGAATGCAGCGTCCAGAGAGAGAAAGAGAGAGAGAGAGAGAGAGAGAGAGAGAGAGAGAGAGAGAGAGAGAGAGAGAGAGAGAAAAGTGTGGAACACAGTTAGAGCTTCTTCGCGAGCCTCGCCTTTTTACTCGCCAATTATGCGACCAATTAGCGTGATAGTCTGTGTGAAGGTGCTGATCTCTTAGGAGGATTGTATAGGGATTGGTCTTTTTAAATCAGATGATAATTATTCATGTTATTTGCAGACGTTACTTCAAAGACTCTGTACAAAGAGCACGAGAAATTTTTTTTTGTGACTTATATTTAAAATTTATACATGAATATGAAATACTTACTATATCTAATAATTTATCTGATTTATATGATGTGTGTATTATATTTCGCACTCTAAGGAATTCTTTCTAGACTTATTGTTAGTGCCGATTTCTATTTAGTAGACACTTTCCTTTTTTCTTTCTGGAGTATAACGCTTGTCTCAATCTAAATTTGAAGGTGTTTAGAATTTTCAGAATAGCGATCAATTTTTATTAGGTATAGGAAAAAGTTCGTGGCGTTTTTTAAATGCCATCTAACGGGAAAAACGCCACAAACTTTTTCCCACACTTAATACTTTATATTGCATGTCAATAAAATCATTCATCGTTATCATCATCATCATCATCATCATCATCATCATCATCATCATCATCATTGTCGACATCATCATCATATAATTATATTATTATTATATTATTATTATTTTTATTTAATATATTATATCATTATTATTTTATAATAATAATCATCATATAATATTATGATATATCGAGTAATTTTTCTTTAAGGAACCATGAAAAGTGACAATTTTTATTATTGAAAACAATGATAGAAATTTTCACCTTTCACATTTTCGATCTAATTTTTAAAAAGTTATACAATCGCTTCCCCGGTCAGCGATCGTGAAATTTTTCACTAAGAAACGTGAAAGATTTTAAATTTAAACTCGACACTCCGCGCGATTATTCCTCAATCGATCACGTAGTCGATTCGTGAGAAAGTTCATGCTTGCGATTAGTGAAGAAGTTCATGGCGGAATCGAGGCGAGCGGGAAATGAAAAGTGAACAGCTTTGACATTCGAAATTGCATGAACCGATGGCCCTGCGGGCTCGAAAAACTTATTAACTTTCTTAACTCTCGAATTATCGCCGCAAATTCAACTTTCTAGCGCGGTCGCGGCTTCCGGAGCCAAGCTCTTCAGCCTCGTCCGGACGAAAAAAAACGAAAACAATCGGCTCCGGCTATCTCCGTTCACCTCTTCGATACACGTCTGCATCGCACGTGTATTGAATGGCTCCGAGTTCCGATCATGGATTCGTCTCGCAAATCCGATCGCGTCACGAGAAGAGAGAGAGATTGAGATTAAGACGCGCTCGTGAAAACGGCGAACGAAGGTCATCAGGTCAAGACCGGCGGAACGACGTTATCGGCCGGCGAGCCCAAGTTGGGCCGCGTGGCGATCATTCGGGATCGGCAAAACTTGTCTCAGACTTACCGCCCATGACTGGTGCTCGAGGCAGTGAGAGAACTCGAGAGTTTATTCTTCTTCTTCTTCCTTCGCGCCTGGACCGGGAGACCGAAACGTTCCCGTACACACCCACCACCTGCCGGCACTCACCGATGGAACAGGAACAGTCCGCGTGCACCTCGTCGGCGCCACAACACGAGTGAAGAGCAGAGCAATGAAGAGAGCGGCAAGTCGTACTTCGTAGCGAATCAGCCACTCTACGAGATACTGCGATCCCCCACTTCTCGCTCATCCCTCCCATCCACCCCCTCGCCGCGTCAGTCTGCAGCTGCGGAAAGTGCTCCACTTTACCGACTATGGGATTGCAGCTGTCGGAGAGTATTATCTGGAGCATCCGGAGTTGATTTAAATGCTGACCGCACGTCCAGTAAAGACTGTATGAGGGTATCGATCACGTAATCTTTTTTTCTAGCACGAAAACGTGTAAAGTGAATTTTTTTTATGATGTCCCTGGTGAAAAATTCTGAAAAATTTTTATCAGGGACATCATAAGAAAATTCACTTTACACGGTTTCGTGCTAATTTTTCAGAATTTTTCTATGATTTTATAACTTTCTCTTTTTTCATTTTTTATATGAATTGAAACATTTCTCAGAAAATCTATATCTTTTCTCAGAATTTTTCATATATGTTAATTATGAAATAGCGTAAGATTTTTAAGATTTTTTTGTAAGTATAATTTCTAAATGAAATGTTATAAAATCTAAAATATTTAAGAATACTTTTTAAAAATTATGGGATGAGAAATTTCAGAATATTTCAGAATTCACTTGTATGAAAAATTCTGAAAGAAGATGTAGAACTTTTCGAATATTTCTGAGTATTTCTGAGTATTTTTGAAAAATCCAATTTCAATTCGTATAAAAATTATGAGAAAAATTTTCACCAGGGGTATGTGTTGTACAGATTCACATTGTATACGAAAAATTTTTACTTTTCCTTAGAGAAAAAATTAGGTGAGGTCTGTTTTTTTATTCCTACACTAAATTATATATTAATTATAAATTATTATATATTAGAACTCTCTTTCTCTCGTTTTCATTGAATATATCTATTTATATCTATTTCACTTTAAGTTCCAAAAGTGTATACTAGTTCTTATAGAAAACAAATTATCGATTGATTCCCAGACTAGACATTGAGATTGAAATTAGATTGGCCCAATCAAATAAAGTTTAACTTAATATCAGTTAAACTTAATATCAGTTATCTTTCTTTTGATTGGTTAAATTTCAATCTAATTTCAATTTTAATTTTTAATCTAGTAGATCTTTACGATATTCTGCTCTAGAAATTGAGATTAAATTTGACTAATCAAAGTATGTGCACTTTGAATGTGCTTTGAATTTGTTCAAATTTTCATTAAACTTAATATTGACTTTCTTTCTTCTAATGGATTAATTTCAATCTCAATCTCAAACTCTAATTTGATACAGGCTTTACATTTCAGTTCTTTCTAGCTAAACTTTTCGTACTTTTTGTCTCCATTCTTCTTCTCTTCAACGTTCAATTATATTTTATTTGAAAGAATCTAGTTCAATTTTATTTTTAAAAAATATAACGTATAGAGAGTGCAGCTGCGACGAACGGAACTATTATCCAGTTACAGCGACTTCTGAAGGCTTTTACAGGCTTTTACCAAAATAATTGAATTAGAAAACTAGAATAAAGCAGAATAACTAATTAATAAATTAATAAATTAATAAATTAATAAATTACAATAAGAATTTTAAAATAAAAGTTTTATAGTAAAAAATAAATTAAAATGAAAGAGAATAAAATAATAAAACTATCACGAAACGGAGACAGACATTTCTGAAGGCAGAATAGTACAAGATACCAAGAAAAAAAAATAGATATATAAGTAATAACAGATATACTAGATATAATAATAATAATAAATATCAACAGAAAATAATAAACTCTCTTGGTTACACAGCGGAATTCTTATCAGCTTTAACTTGTGAACGGACGTAGCATTACGTCAGTGGCTCCGAAGTTAAAAAAAAAGAATAAGTGACATTATATTGTCAATCACAATGTTGCAACTATTACATCACCGAACTGATAATTGAATTAGAAAATTGAATACGCTCGCGTTTAGCGCTAAAAATATCAGATGCGCACGCATCTACAGACTTAGCATATTAAGTTAAAAATTGTCATTCATTAGTGTTTCAATTTTCATAGATATTATGTGTAATGCTCAGCAAAACATATTAGCAATATGTGCTTGCCGATTCAAATAAAATGTAAATGCGGCAGATCGATATCAGTGACATAATCTGACAGCAGATTATCAGCAAAAAGCGAATCGAGCAAATCAGGAATCTGACCTTTCTCTTACAGAATCTCTTTTCTTAATTGTTTAGACTATGTGTTCCATTCTGTAGATCTGCCATCAATATTCTATCGAAATTCTATTATTTTTTAATTTTGCTGAATATGTATATTAGCGAATATTTTATGAAACGACCTCGCACTAATTATATAAGAAAATTAGATCCCATTCACAAAGAAAAAAATTTCTTTGGATTTAATATTCCTATTTATTTGACTAAAATTTGTTTCATTGTCAACAAGATATGCTTAAACGAAATATTATTTGTGTGAATAAAATATGAATAAATTTATTGTTTCATTCGAAGAAACTCTATTGTTTGACAGAAATAATATTATTATTTGAAGTGATCTTTCAATCAAATAATATTATTTGGTTATAATGAATACAAACAATGAAATTTATTTATTTAAAATTATTTATTTAAAATAGCAAAATATATTGATAGAGGATGTTCCATGCAAATAATTGCTTTTTTAGAAGAACCATTACATTTTTTGACCGAAATTACGAAAACAGTAGCTATAATACAAGATAACAAGATTAAATTATGTGCTATGATATATTAATTATGTTTGTGCCATACAGTTTGATCACGCGAATGCCAAAGACGTCTATTCAAACAAATAATGTATTTAAGACAAAGATAAGATGTTTCAAATTCGATCGTACTTATTGATTCAAATATTTATTTGGGCCATTCCAAATAACAAATTTATTTGAATATAATAAAATTTATTAAATCCATAAAGAAAATCTTTTTCTTCATGTTGAGATGAGCTTTAATATAGGATGTAGCTATTATAATGTCGTGAATAAAAGATATCACAAACTATGCACAAATACATCAATGAAATACTATATATTAATATAGTACTCTCTAAATCTGAATCAGTGAATAGTCACTAATTATCCAGTTATAGGCATACTTGGCATTGATAATCAGTGAAGTTTAACTAAAAAAGGAAGAATATTTAAGCATTAATAACTAAAATAAAACCGATATTTGCATATTAATTTCAATCTTTCAATACCAAATTCATTGAATTTAAACACTAAGCAAGGTTAGTTAGATCACATAATAAAGATTAGCTAGATTAGGGATCTCATATTTAATTCACTGATTACCAGTGACATACTTGGCACTGATATCAGTGATTATCTATTGATTCAGATTTAGAGAGTATCTTGTCGATGACAAACAATTATATCATTAATGATATGTTATTAAGAAGGCGCGCCAAGTGCGTATATTGTTAACAATAGTTGTTATCTACCGTTTCAAATAACCCACATTTGCGCTAATTATTTATAAAGTCGCATCATGACATAGATGCGCTGTTTAAATTACCTAACTTCTTTATTTCTCTGAGAGTTGTGGCATTCTGAGGCTTTAATCCCAAAAACCCATAGGTTTAATGCTCTACAAGAATGCTCTACAAATCATACAGCACATTTAGGACGTTTTCTGGACGTCTTTAAGATGCCCTTGAGAGATTTCTGCTGTATTAAGACTTAATAATGGATAGTTGAGCTATGACGTACTAAAAGCGCATGTAAACACAAGTTTGATAGCTTTAATACACCAAATATTGAAATATTATACAAAAAAGTGAAATATTATATTAATATATTATTGAGCTTCTATGATATCTTCTATTTATTCACCACATTATAAGTTATATTATATGTAGAGTCCGACTGAAATTTCGGTTTCGATTTCGATTAATTTCGGTCAAAAATCAGGATTTCGATTTAATTTCGGTTTCGGCCGAAATTAAGAAAAAATTTCGGTGAGTAAACTAAAATTATACAAATTGCAACGCTCCGGTGAACGTTCAAAAAACAATTGTTCGATTTTAATTATTAATTTGGTTAATCTTAAGACAATTTGAGTAGAAACTTTGATGTGATCCTAATAATAACTGTGATCTGATTTCTTTAAAAGTTGAGGATGCAATATTTTCATATTATTATAGTTAGATATTTTAATAAAATCTTGTTTTTTAAAGAGTACATAAATTTGTCATGATTTCTGAAAATCAATTTTATAGTTTCTGTAAAATTAATTTAAAAAATGTCGATTTCGACTTCGGCCGAAAAAATGTGACTATTAGCTTCTCTCTCTCTCCCTCTCTCCCTCCCTCTCTCTCTCTCTCTCTCTCTCTCTCTCTCTGTCTTTTTTCTTAGTAAGACTTATTTAAGTTTCGGTTTCCACCGAAATTGAATGCTGACAACCGTTTTCGTTTTCGGTCAGAAGTAAAAATATGATGTCGGTCAGACTCTAATTATATGTGAAAAACTCATTTCATCGGGATTTAATTTTTCCTACAATTAACGAAGTTCTTCGCTTTCGACCGATTTAACTGACCGTAGATTATCTTCCTACCCATAATCTTTCTACGCATCGCCGTCATCGACGCAATCCGAAGCTCGCTAATAGGGATTATTAGCCGACCGATCGACGACCCTCCCTTCTATCCCATCCACATCGAGGATCCCGGTCGGCGGTCACGAGGGTTCGCGGTCGCGGAGGGTCAGGTGAGTTCGCGCCGATCAGGTCGCGCAGCTTCGAGTCCTCTGAGTCTTCCGAGAGCTTGCGAGCACTTGCGAGAGCTCTCGAACCCACGTCGCGACACCTGCCGCGAGAACGACGCGGCAGTGCGATTGCGTCGTTTCTGTTCCGGTGTTTTCCGAGCCGCACCATCGTGCGCACCACCACCGCACCGCATCAGCGCGGAAGGCTGCGAAGTGCGCGGAGTGCGGAGATCGGGCGGCAGACATGCGGCGTACAGCGGGAGTAGGTGCGTTAGGGGCCGGGCAGCATTCGCGCCGTTAAG